GATTTAGAAAATGACAATAAAAAAATGAGCGCCTCCCAAGTGTGGGGGTCTATCGCTCAAGGTGCTGAAGTGGGAAACCCGCGGGGTCGACAGAGCTCAACAGAGGACTGCCAGTCCCGCGCAACAAGGCTGCAGCATGCCTCCGCCCTCCCCTACTAATTTTAAAATGCCTAGCTACGCAATGCCGTTTGACTGCCGAGGAGGCGGCCGCCCAGCGACGAAAGGCTCCCGCTATGCAACGACTACCATCGAAAAAGCTTTTCGACGCGGAGACCATCACCAATGCAAAGGCATTGTTGCGCGGCCAAGGGGCCCGGGCAACCAATAAGCAAACGAGACAGCGTTCGTTGCGGGCCATCCGCCTCGTTCGCGAAGGCCCGCCAACACTGCAGCTGCAACGTTCAGCGCCTTGTGCTACTGTTTCGATTTCCCTTACCGCCCAGAGTGTGTACTCAGTGTGTTCTGTCTTGTGCGGGGCTTGTGTTTGAACGGAAGACCACATCACAGAGGCCGCATTTCAGCCCAGAAAGGGGCGGAGGGTATTACGGGCAAAGAGGCCGACAACAATGCACGGTGAGGTTTTCGCCACCCACCCACACGGCATCACAGTACGGGCATTTCTCCTTTTGACAACTTGTGGACGGCCGTTTTCCCGCGGGAGATGCGGCAGTCGCAGGCCGCGTCGGATAAGCAGCGCCCGTCCATAGTGCACGTGGGTCGGGGCTGGAGCGCACGATTGCAGCTTGTTCTGGCTAAAGAGCTCAAGAACGAAAGTGAGTCAAACAACTTCTCACTGTTCACAATAAGCGACTCCAGAGCTCAGACCCCCAACGCCGTGTTTGTGCCAGGTGCGCCAGTTCAGTTCAAACAAGGTCCTCCTGCGCAATTAGACCATCGCCACTGAAGCCAAAGGACGCTGCAAAGCATAGCATACGGCGGTGTGTGTCTTGAGGCGTGGTTGCGCGCCACGCTTTGGCGGGTTTTGCGCTGAGGCATGCCAGCAGATCTGTATGCCGCGGAGTTGCTATACGCTTTTCTGTGTGCAGAGCAGTTGTCGCGTTCGGCGTCGCACATCCATTGGCAGTGTCATTTGCAGGTATTCCACGGTGTCCGTAACAAAACTGCAGATGCATCGACTGGCCAGCACGCCTCAGTGTCGAGAGGCACTGCCAGATCTGGTCTTTCGCACAGTCGGTTTGACTGGGTGGGCCTTTGTTGCGGGCAGCCAGAAGGGACTGACCATATGTAACCACGCATGGTGTTTTGTTACCGTGCTGGGTGCAGAGAACGATCAGTTTGTCGAGGGCCAGAAGCAGCAGCGTACAAGATTCCGTCCTGTAGTTGTGCGAGCGTATGCCGCGGTGAATGCTGACATTCTCTATAACCCCAGGGCGGTGTAGAGAAGAAATCGGTATTGTTGCCCAAGCTGGCAAGTAAGCGTCGACACCACCATCTGTTGCGAGTGTCCACACGCGGTGTGTGTATTGTGCCAGATCCGCTTTGCTGGTTCTGGGCTTCTTCATTTTAAGCTCCTTTTTGCCGGCGATCGAGCAATCCATTGGGAGTTGCGCGCTAATAGACACCCAGTTGGCGGGCGCCACAGAAAAGGGAGAAATGGAGCTGTGAAAAGGCCGCTCCTTGCGTGGAGTTTTTATCGGTGATGCCAAACTTCCTTGTTTTCTTATCAACAAAGGCGTGGAGCTTATCCCGAGAAAGTGGCGAGACGCAGAAACCGGCGCGTAGCGGCGGCTCAGGCGGGGAACTTACTCACTTAGTCCATCTTACACGCCCAGATGTTTTCAAAGATTGCGAGGCGAACGCGTAGGCGGAAAACGCGGAGTCGAGGTATATTGGCCACCAGGAGGGCGGCTCGCGGTCAGTCGTGCTTGGGGCTTTGCTGGCGGCGCACGTCGTTGTTGCTATTGTTTTTTACCGAGTCCGTTGGCGCAGCTCATATGAGCCCATTGCTTTAGAGAAGTTTGGAGGCACAATACCAAAGGGCAAACGCCCGTAGCTCACAAAGAGGCACACCAGCTGCTTTATGCGATCCGGGGCGTAGCAGGGGAATTCTCCGCAAGGCGGCGGCACACTGTTTGGGGACTGCCGCATTAAGCAGCAGTGGGGGATCGAGGTTCATGCTGAGGAGCTTCGGAGTGCGAGGTAACACCGCAGGTCTTGCAGCGGCGCGCGGGGAATTAACCGTCTCCGTTGCGCCCCGCTTTGTGAGCCATGTGGGGCAGCTACACCGCCGCGGTGCGTACACTGTGGCTCGCATGCTGGTGGGGGCGCGGCATCCATACCCAAAGCAGCCCCTTCAGTCGGTATCATGTTCTCAGCAACCTCACTGACAATGGGGGTGGGGCTGGTGGGTCGGTGCGGCTCTAACTGCTTGGGCGGCTTTCCAGGTTTCAAGAGTTGGACAATAGCGGCACGACTCCGCTCGACCAAAATCACACCGGCCGCCAAACCGTGTTGGATCTAGAGGATAAGCAACCAGATGCCTTTCGCCAAGAGGTGCCCTAGCGCCCCAACACGCACGCTGTCTGGTGCAGGGGTTTTGCCCTACAGTTTGACCCCCAACGCGGCAAGCACTGGTTTTGGCATGCCAAAGAGAGTGTCTCGAGAAGATGGGGGCGATCCATCGTGGAGTCGGCGGTTGGCTCTTCGTTGCTTTGCGGCCTGGGTGGGGCGTGCGGAGCAACTCCCAGAGACTCTTGCTGTCGGTCTCATCGTGCAGAAACCCCTTGTTGGTTTGCGAGATGGGTAAAGGGAGGGAGAAATCTGCAATTGAGAGCATTTGCTGCTCGCTGTGCTGTCCTAAAAGTGCGTCGCCCACCGCCCGTCAGCGCAGCTGCGGGGTGTGGTTGGGAAGCCGCCTTGCGTCCAGATGTGTATTTCCAGGCCAATGCTTCGCCTGTGGCTGACTCGCGGTTGCGCCTGAAATGTGTAGTGCGCAATGGCTCCCAGAAAAAAAGGATGAACTGATTCCTTGTCCGTTGCGTTTCTGCTTTGCGGTCGGGCGATCGCGAGTGCAGGTGGCAGCGAACCTTGCTCTCGGTAGCAAAATTCGCTCTGCCTCCGTGGGGGTGCGGTCCCACAACTTAGAGCCATTTCCGTGCACGCCGCGAGGGCAATGCTTAAGGGGGGAAATTCTACGCACCTTTGTGGGGGCCTTAACGCCGGGTGCCGACGTCTTAAAATTGTATGCTTGAAGCTGTTGACTCAGGAGTTCCATTCACACTTCTCAGACTGTATAAAGTGCGGTGCAAAGGAGCGCCCCCCGCGCCGTCAGAGTTGCAGGTTTTGCTTGCGTCGGGTGGGCGGGGTGGGGAGCACTACGTTGGAGCACCTCGGGGGGCGGCTTAGTTCCACGCCCCATGATAGCCGTAGGTTTTAGCGTCGCGCGCCGCATGGAGTTCGCACGAAGAAAGCAAAGTGCCGGCAAGCGGCGGTGTAAATAGGGAACGGGAAAAAAAACCTCACACCAGGAGCCCCCCAGCCCTCTGGAAACAACAGCCTATGCGCCCGCGACTGCCGAGCCAGCCGGCCACAACAAGACCCCCAACCCGCCGCCCCATCATTTCTAGCCCGTCGAGATGGCGCACTGGAGGCGCGACTCGGCGTGGGCGCGTCGGCGGCCAACGAGACACCTTAACTATAATTCTT